CTCTGATAGTAAGCAAAATAAGGGTTTGTATGAAAGAAATTCCTTCTACAGGAGGCAATCTGGTGATAAGTGTAAAGTAGTAACCTTTTTGACCTGTTACAAATTTATGGAAAGAAATCTTTGTCGAGTGTTACCATGAAACAGTTCAGGTATAGAAGTTATCTTATTTACATGCTGTTCCGTAGCGAGGAAAAGTTTCGGTTGCTAGTGATACTTACCCATCCTCCATAAGGTATGGTTTCATATTTGCATGGTAGCACCCCATGGCAACAATCTGGACTGGATCCTGATAACTTTAGATTTCTGCCAAGCTGGTCAACTTGATTCCTTGATTGAAACACGACTCAAAAGACAATATTATCCTCTGATTTAAGTATTTAATTTAACTCCTTCATTTCATGAGATGAATTATACCCACGTACTGGTTTTTCGAATATAAGAATGGCATCGGGTCATTAGCTGGTCCAAAAATTGGTTGAAGAATTTTGAGACTTATAGTCTTTGAGTTCTCTTTGTTTCAGTTAATTTTAGTTGAATCGGTGGATTATGACTGGCTGTTCTTTTATTGAAGAATTATCCTATAACCATTGGCATTAAGATCTCTACGCACCGTTAAGGTTTTCCTCTTGTTCAATTCCCCACTGTTAACCATCATGATATATTAGAACTCAGATAAAGAACTTTCGACAGTAATTTGATGAGTTACAATTGATGGCGAAGCATTTTGAGTTTGAACTCGTCTCAATTAAGTAATGCTATTCTTGCTTTGATATAGGAGCCTGCAGACAACAATTGTGTGTATAGAAACGTGATTCATCATTCTGCTGATGAGTTTACACAAGTCCTACAGGATGTTGCGGCTGATCCAACTCTTCCTCGTACTAAGAGTGTTCGGTGTGCTGTATGCAATCACCCCGAAGCCGTATTCTTCCAGGTCACATCACTTTCTCAGTCTCAATATTTTTTTTGTTTAATTTATTGTGGTGTAATAGTAACTATAAATGAAAATTATATCATACTTACAACATAGAAGAACAAAATGTTTTTTTAAAGTGCAAGGACTAAAAGGGTTCTGCAAAAAATAAAATCTGCATTAGTCAGCCAATGGTACTCTATAGAAAATCATTTGGGGAGGAAGGAAAAAGCGAAACATGTCCACTGCAAATTTCAAGCTGGTGCAAACAAAATACTGATTCAGTGTGAACAGTGCATGGACCGCTGCAACTCACCTACTTTAATATTGGTATTGTGAACGTGTCACATCTTCTTCCTATATAGAACCCTCAACCCTCTATGAGATATACAGGGGTGTGTTGAGCGCGTGTGCGTGGTGTAAAAGGGGATGCATCATAGTTTTCTTGTAGGGTAGATGGTTGGAAATTCAAATTTCTGATTTATTCAATACTCTCGTGAACAACAGCTGTATACTATTAGCATAAAGATTATATTCGGGTAAAAGCGTATAGCTCCTGGAAACTTAAGTGGACTCAGGGTTCTGTCCACCAACCTTTTTATCCGCTAGAGTTGCTTAGAGATGCATGCTGATGCGTGTTGCACATCAAGACGGTCCTTAAGACTCGTGCATTACTGTGTATCACATGTCAACATGCATCTCAAAGAAAGTTAAAAGGGATAACAAAAGTTGATAAAGAGAGTCGTGCTTTTCGCCATACACACACGCTGTCAGAGCTCCGTTGGATATTCATTTAGACATGTTCAAGTTATCGGTGCTCTGGTCGTGTTATTATGCCACAATGTTGAACAGAAGCATATTTTGTTTGCATACGTTTTGGATAATTTGCAGGCGACAAGTAGGGCGGAAGATGGCATGACACTCTTCTTTGTTTGCTGCAATCCGAACTGTGGCCACCGATGGAAGGATTAATTGGGTGATGCTATCAGCTGTTTCGATACCCTGTTTGATGTTTCTTAAGCTTGAAGTGAACTGATTTTCTTCTGAAGTACATATGAGATGGTTGTTATGGAGATCTTGTGAACAATTTGGAGTTGGTTGCTCCTTGGTGATGATGCTGGTGCTTCTTGCTTGGAGTAGAACATAATAAATTTGTGAATTTTGGGGGGGAACCTTTGATTGGTAAACGAAATATGGAGTGTGAATCCTTCAAGATGTTTCTAACTTCTGAAAATTTTTGGAGTTGTATTAGATTTTCTGCTCTTTGTTGATCGAGGAAAGAAATAATATGAGAAAGGTTTCATTACTAACAAGTATGTATGATATGAAGAGCTCATAACTACATTGTATAACATAAATTTGAAGAGGAATCTGCAGGGATTACAAGGTTTGATTTTTCCTTGAACAAAATTGTATCATCGACTTGGTGAAGAGCAAACAAAACTTTCACCTTAAGAAGTAAATTTTATGCATCTCATGAGAAAAAAAAAACTATTTTGCTCCCTGATCTTGATAAATCACGATCAGGGAAGTCACTTTATTGATAGGAAAATATTATAATTAAGCAATTACTTGAAATGTGTGTCTAATAATAGAATCTAGGGCTAAGACCAAATACACCCTTGCACTATAAGGGATTAATCATTTATATTCTTAAAAAAAATTTCTTAGCACATATATCTTCTAGAGTCTCAAATTTCAACTTGCTTCCTAAATAATTTTTCTCAAGCCTTCAATATTGTTCTTTTTTTATACCTACTAGTTTAGATGCACGTGTAATGCACGTGATTGAATATCATGATTATTTAAATTGATAAAAATAGAGTAAAAATAAAAAAAGAAAACAAAGTTTTTTTTGGTATTGATCATCAACACAATAAGCTCTCTCTCAAATAAAATATTATCATTGTTTCTTTTCAACCCAGACTGTGGCCACGTGATCTACTATTTGTGAGTTATAAACGCATTAATATAGTATAACATCTCTATTTATTAGTATCTTGAAGTCTTCAAAAGATGGGTGATTATTCAATTCGTAAAGGAATTTTGCATATGAATTTACTTGCAATATGTCCATTAAACTTTTAGTCATAGTTTGACTCATATTCACGTTAACTTTTAGTTGATGTTCCACTCATATTTATATTATCTAAAATAATATTCTCATTCAATTTTATAGCTCATTCTTCGTATCATAAAAGTAAAACTGAAAGCGTGAAGAATTATTTTCTTACAAAATTAGAACAGGGAAATTATGATATATTTCGCCATATGCTCTAAATATAAAAAAAATCTTTTTTGCAAGGTCCTTATCAAATCTTACCCCAAATGATGTGAATAAAAAATGCTATTATAACTCACTTGTCTAGGGTAATTGTATTGTATATAAGATACATAACTCATATGGAATATCCATATTTCCTAAGTAGATTTTGTTGTTTGTGAGAGCAACATGTTATAGGCTCGTATTCAAACTTTTTGGCTCTATAAAAGACACAATAATTTAGAGTGCAAGCTTATATATCGTAAAGAACATCTCGATTCATGAAGAATTTTTTCCTAATAATGATATTATTACAACAATATTACTATTCAACATTAAATCAATTTTATTATATAAGATAATATGACCCTTTTTAATAAATTTTAAAATATATATATGGAAAGCTCGATGCTTATAGCCAGTAGTTGGGCTCCACAAAATAGGTTAACTTACATTGTAGTTTGCTATTTGTAGTACTATTAGCAATGTCATTACCTTTCCTCTTTATCTTATTATTCACACTTTTCTGATGTAAGTTTTCTTTTGCTAATCATTCAATTTGTTATATTTAGTTTTTATAATATCAGAGGTTAGAATATTCTCTTCTATTTAAAAATTGTTGACATGATTTTTTTAAAATATATACACATAGTAGCAATAGTATATACTTCAGTGCAACTTAAACATTGGCTTGAAACCTATTTAGAGTGAGGTCCTTTCTATGCTAGAATGGTGATACAGTGATTACACGGTCTAAAAGTCAAGAAAGAAATTTCTACAAAAGAAAAATAATTTAATATGTCAAATTAAAAACTAATTTATAAAATATACATAGGCAGTTCAAATAGCTATAAAAAGTAAGGTATATATCTTCATAAAAATTTTATAGTGAGTGACCAACTACAATCATCCTAATTTAAGCATAAATAATTATTATTTTAGTTACTAATTTGATACATGTAACTATAGAATAAATCTCCAGTAAAAAATAAAAATTGAGATTGTATGATGCTGTAGGTAAATAAATAAATGTTATTAGAGCTCCTCTTTGTTTGACCCTAGAGGGGGGTGATTAGGGTCTTATGCTAATCTAATCCGATTAAATGCTAATTAAAACTAATTAACAAGTTATCCTAGCAAGTATGAAATGTAATAATATATATGAGCTAAGATAAGCAATATACAATATGATATATCCTAGCAAAGAGATATATAGCAAAATATATATGCAATGATATATAAACTAACACAAGGGTAAACAATATAAACTAGATAGTGGATCATAAAAAGGATGAGTAATGCACAATTGGCGATATAAGATAAATGCAAAAACAACTACGCCAAAGACAAACTCAAACAAGCAATATGATTACGGAGTTCGGACATTCCGTCCTACGTCTCCGCTCCCCACTCCCGGAGAGAAATCCACTATCACAACCAGGTTTTCTACGTTCACCCGAATAACGTTTACACCTCACAATGTCGGTTTTCAACGCTCACCGATCAACGTCACTCCTCACAATCGGTTTTCTAGTTCACCGAAAACTTCACAACACACTCGGTTTTCTAGCTCACCGAAAACCTTACAAGACTCACAATGTAACAATAAATAATTTGTTCTCTCATACAAGGTGAGAACCAAATACTTTAAGCTCAATTGGGTGTGTGTAACAATGAGTATAAATCAAATCAACTAAACTCAAATATAAAATCTAGCTTAAGAACAATGATAATCAAACAAGTATATAAATGTAAAGCTAGAGATTGAGTTTAGAAAACTTCTCAATTGATAACAAGAGATGGAGGGAGGATAGTTGGAAGCTCAAACTTCAATAGATAATCTCCTCGAGCTCTTGTGGAATTGATTCACAAAACCGAAACACTCACATGCTTAAAAGCTTCTTAAAACAAACTTAAACAAACACTAAACAAGTTTAAACCCTTGTTAAACTATTTGAAAAACATTCTCTTAGAAAATTGAAATCTGAGATCAAAGGAGTTTTTATAGCCTCCCAAAGACCTCAGCCAAAACCCAAAACAAATGACAAAAAAGCTCAGCCAACGGTAACAAAAATAGCCGTTGGAAAAGTCTGACAGAGCGGCGGTCGACCGAAAATTCTCGCGGTCGACCGCGATCCAGGTTCCAAACGGAGAAAACGCACAGAGAGTTCGTCGGTCGACCGGCGGAAATATCGGTCGACCGGCGGTACTGTAGCAGGTATATCCGATTTTATAAAATCGGTTAAAAATAGTAAAACAAAATTATGAAATTTTGTGGGAAGGTTCTAGACATGTAGAATGACATGTTAGAGAAAGAATTTCTGAAAAAGCATTTGCCAGTTGAGAGAAATAAATGTTTGAACACAGAAATACAGTTTCTGAAAATCTGCTGTGATACACGATTTTGTAAAATCAATTAGGCACAGTAAATCAACTCCAAAAATAGTAAAATTTTGAGAAAAGTTTCTAAACATATAGATAAACATGTCAAAGAAAGAATTTCTTGAATATCACTTCCCATTTATGAAAACGCATTGGTTTTGTAAAAACATGCACGAACATGCACGAATGAAAAATTGATTTTGTAAATTCCATTAAACATAACAAATCAATTCCAAACTTGATGAAACTTTGCGAAATGTTTGTAAACATGAAAACAAACATGTTAGAAAAAGAATTTCTCAAATTAAAATTTTTATTTGTGAAAACTCATGTATTTTGTAAAACTTATAAATACATGTGTACATAAACAACTTTACCATATGAAACCAAACATGTATATATATATATATGAATATGTATTTGTTTCATATTTAAACTTAAAAGCCAAGAACCAAAACTTGTGTATATATATATAACTATATATAAAAGAACAAAATATGTGTGTGTGTATATGATTGAGCTTAAAGTATTAACACACATAATATTAAACCTAAACTAAATATACCCAAGCTTGATTGGTCTTCAATAAGCTCTACTTGATAATCTCGCGGATGAAGCTTGAACTTGATCTTTAACTTTGAATTGTATGTTGCTTCACTCCACAATTCCGCCAACCTCCTTTTGATATGATCGTGTAGGCTTAATCCATCCAACCTCCAACTTCGTTGTTTGTCTATAATAAATACGAAAATACAAACACTAGACAAATATATATATATATAGTCAATCAATCAAACTATTAAAAATATGATAACCACGGTCAAAATTATATGGTGGGTTCACATTAAATACAATTTATAAAAAAATAGTACATTAAAGTCAAAATCTTTTTAACCACTATATAGACTGTCTGAAATTTTTTGCATATATAAACTATACTGCCTAGAAATAGTGATGTGCACACTTAACTATGGTCTAATAATTTTAAGAACGACTTATTCTTCAATATCATCACTAATTGATGTATATGTGTATTACACTGAAAACATAATGAAAATTTAGAAAACTACAAAATAAACACCCACAAAAGTTTTAAAAATATAAAAAACCACCCTGAATTTTATAATTTATAAATACAAAAAACTATTAAACATTACATTGAAATAAAGGAATTATAAAAAAATCATTGAAAAATTTCATACTTTGGAGGGATAATTTTCAATGTACTATACTTTAATGGTGTTTTTTGTAAATTTTAAATTTAATAATTTTTAATTATTTATGTTCTTTTCAAAAAAGCTATGAGTAATATTTACCATAAAAAGTTTTTCCTAAACCTATACTTTTAAAAGCTGTATGATATTTTTTACAAAATTTTAATTTTCTAGGGGTTTCTAATAATTTTGCATATTTATTTTAGTGTCTATAGGTTAGAAATTCTCATCATTTTTTTTTTATAAATTTTTAAACTTATTGGCCTTTTCTATAGATTGTAAATTATTTATAGACTATTTATAATTCCTATGTTTTCAATTTACTAACGAATTTGAAAATTTTAGGGTATTTTTTGTAAATTTTAAATGTTTGTTTGTAATTTTTAAAACTTTAAAGATGTTTTCTATAAATTATAAATTATGTAGGGGATATTTATAATTCTTATATTTTTAATGCACTGTTAGGTCAGAAACTATCAGGATTTGTT